GGGCCCTGCCGTGAGTCGCTGGGAAGCGGCGCTGATCTGGAGGGCTTGTTTCTCTTGCTCCCGATACTCTGCTTGCCGTGCCCACCCACGGGGCTGCCTCTGCTTAATAGCTGCCCTGGCTCCTGGATGCTAATTAGTCAGCAAACTCTTTCCTCAGCGGGTAAACACAGTGAAGCCTTTTCAGTGCTTCCAGCCACGAGGGACGGCCGCTCCGAGCCCACCCATCGCTGGGCTTCGCCCCCAGAGTCTCTCTGTGCTCTGCTTGTTTCCAGCCTCAGCCGTGGATCTCAGCATCTTTCCCTTGCCAGCTGGGCCTGTTGCTGCCGTCTCCCCAGCATCAAGTGGTTCCCAGCGCGCTTTCCAGCTGCACCGGGCTGCCAGCTCCCTCCAACACGGCCGGGCTCTGCTCCTTTTACTGCTGGGCACCATCTGCAGCTCCTGGCAACCAGGCCAGCGCTGTTGACCCAAGAGGAGCCTGTCCCTTGTGTGCCAGCTCTGAATGAGCCCTTGTCTCTGCCCTGGGACCAGGGGATGGGGAGGACTTGTTTTCCAGAGATGGTTTGTCAGGGTGGGGTGGCTGTGAAGAGTTACCCAGGTGGAGGGAATAGCTGGGGGATCTTGTCTTGCATCCAGAGCCTGTAAAACAAGTGAGGAGCACTCATCCTGTAGCTCCTTTCTGGGGCGATGAGGTGCCTGCAGCTCTTGGGCTCCCTGTCCCACTGGTCCCATTCCACAGGGAGGGGAGCCAAGGGACGCGGTGACTCATTTCAGGCCACGTAGGAAGTAATTGATTAAGCTGGGATTTGGACCCGAGTCAAGCCGTGTGCTGTACCAGAGGCTGCTTCGCTGTGGTGCTGGCTGTGAGCCTGAGAGCCAAAGTGGGGTTCACACCCTCAGGTGTGTTGTGGACGAGTCCCCTGCAGGGCTCAGCAGGGTGAATTCCCAAACCTGGAAATGCCCTTGATGCAAAAGGGAGCGAACGTCGGTGTGTAAGGCAGGGGACTGAGACACGTGGTCGCTCAGAGCGAGGCGGGGGTGCAGGGAAGAGCAGATCTCAAATCCCAGCTCAGGCTGGGGAAAGCGACGAGTTTAAACAAGGCTTCTCTTTGCTGCTGCAAAGAACAAAATCTTCAGCTGAATGCGGCACTTTGGAACTGAGGCTTTGGAGACAGAAGGTTATTGAAGTTTGCTTTTGGTCAGTATTCAGCTCCCGGCAGCACGTGGGAGGTGTGACCCCAGTCTAGGCTGAGGAGATTATTTGTGGGTGCTCTGTGGCTTTTTTGTGTTCTATTTTTTTTATTATTATTTTTTTTTCTCTCCTCTTTCCACAGCATTCAACCTGTCTATGGAGCACAGCATCCTCCGCTGGATCCCCGGCTCACCAAAAAGTGAGTGTTTGTCTTCTGGAGACACAGGCCACGAGGCTTTGCAGGTTTTTGGCTCAGTCCCACAGTAGGTGAGGGTCTCCAGCACCCTCTGGCCCTGTGATCTTTCAGCAGAGAAGGGTGGTGATGCCGTCTTAACCTCTGGGAAAGCTTATCTGCTGGCACCTTTTGTGGCCAGAAATCCATGTTGTGCCAGCCACGTCAAAGGATACAGGTGTATTTTTTTAGCAGTGGTGTCTGAACCTTTCTCTCCCCTTCGGAGAGGGAAGAATTAAGGGAAGGGGAGGTAAGGCTGCCCGGCAGCCGTGGGGCTGCAGAACCACAGCACCCTTCCCGAGCTGATCTGACCTGCCTCCTTGGCTCTATCTCACGCTGTGTAGCAGTGAAGGTTCCCTGTTTTCTGTGACGCTTCAGGCGTTGGACTTTGACTCCTGTAGCTTAAGGGTCAATCCAAAGGCTCCTCCTGTGCCTGAGAAAAGAACCAAGCTGGTCCATCCGCCAGGAGCGACGGCAGCTGTATCGGGCACGTTCACGAGCGCAAAGTGGCTCCGTCTAACCTCCACCATGCCTCTCCCCAGGTCACAAGGATTTTTTTGGGGTGTTACTCTACCAGTTTTCTCTAAGGTGGGAAGAAGCAGAGCTGGAGGAATCGTACGTGTCTCCCCTTTGCCCTTCCGAGCTGGGAAGGCTGGCACTCCTCCAGCTGCCTGCTGGCACTGTGGCTCTGCCTCCCAGCAGCGAGCAGCCCGCAGAGACTTAACGCGTTCCTTGGGTTTGGGAGGAGGAACGGGGAAAGTGGAAAGAGGGACTGGCTGGTTGGAGTCAGGGAAGGAAAGAAAATGGACTCGTCTGATGGTGTTGCTCTGATACTGTTTCTCTCCGGCTCCCAGCTTCATCAAGGACCGCTCCAAGGCCAACGCGCTGCCGATGAAAAGCAAGAAGGCCTCCAGCTTTCATGAGTTTGCCCGGAACACCAGTGATGCCTGGGACATCGGTGATGACGAAGACGAGGACTTCTCTTCCTCCTCTTCTTCTTTGCAAACTTTGAACTCTAAAGTGGCCAAGGCCACGGCAGCCCAGGTTCTGGAGAACCACAGCAAGCTGCGGGCGAAACCCGAGCGAGCACAATCCGCTCTCAGTGACATGCCCACCAACTGCAAAGTCATCAAGTCCAGCAGCGAGGCCCAGCTCTCCAGGACGTCTGGTAAGAGCCGTCTTCAGGAGCAGCCTCCTGCTCCGGTGCTCTCCTGAACTCAGCCTCTTGCAACTACTCATGTGTTCTGGTTGAGAGCCTGTGGCACAGCCCATAAGCTCAGCAGAGGCTTTTGCCTCCTTATAGTATCCCTGCGCTCCAGGGAGCTGTTTTCAGAGGCTTGGCCTTAATGCTTCACTGTCCTCTGCTGCTCAGTATCCTCTGCACAGGCACGTGTGTCTAGGAGGGTCCCGTGTTCTGGGTGCCAAGGGATTTTGGAGATCTGTCACGTTCTTGCTCAGGGTTGCTCACTGTCTGCTTCCCTTGTGTCCCAGTGTGCTACTCTTAGTAGTAAAGGTCCTGTTGACCTGCTTACCATGCGCTGTGGAAGTAACCCAGCGTGTCCCTGCTGCCAGCAGGTGGCATTGGCAGCCTGTCACCTCCTCTCTCTGCTCTTGCAATTAGCTTGATCACTCTTTAGGTCAGCGGTGAGCAGAGAAGTTCGATTCTTCTGGGATTCCCACAGCTCCTTCTGCCCCACGGCTTCCTGTGGGAAGTCTGACCTGCTGGCAACCAGGTGTCTGGATGCAGGAGGAGGGAAGGGAAGGAGAAATGGGGGGGAAGAGCCAGGACAGATGCCTGTGAGCCTTCAGAGTGGGCCAGTGATGCTTCGTTTGCTGGGGCTGGGGAAGAAGAGGTGAAATCTGCAGCAGCAGATCTCTGACAGCGGCCAGAGGAGTGAGGTGGACTCGGAGAGGTGTGGTCTCCTTCCCCACCTCACGGCAGCGTCTGCTCCTTGCAGAGGAGGCCTGTGTGCGGACTCCCCTCCAGAAGCAGCAATCCCTTCCCCTTCGGCCCGTCATTCCACTCGTCGCCCGAATCTCTGACCAAAATGCTTCGGGTGCTCCCCCCATGACGGTGAGGGAGAAAACTCGCCTCGAGAAGTTTCGGCAGCTCCTCTCCAGCCACAACACGGGCCTGGGTAAGTGTGGCAAACCGGGGGTGGGAAGGGGAAGGCGGGGGGGGGCTGCTGCTGCCTCAGGTTGTGACCAGGCCTCCTCCAGGGTGGGGAAAAAAATCACTACCAAGTGGGATGGTTGCACGCACTGCTCTGCTGACAGATGGTAATGTCCTCTGCCAGCTCCCTGTCTGTTCCTCGTCTTTCTCCATCTCATAAATGATGGTTGTAGACACTGGGGGCTGCATGAGGACTGCGGCTCTGGCACATCAGAGCCCCCGCAGCCACCAGGCTGAGCTGAAATCATCTCTGCTCCTCTTGCTGCAGACCCACATCCCCAGTCATTGCTAATGTGGAGCCTTCCTGGAGGCTCAAGTGTCTCCAGAGCCCGCAGGAGCAGACTGGGCTTTCCTCTCCTTCTAGGTGTAGTGGTGCCTGGACGTGCCTAGGATCTAATCCAGTGCCACCACTGTCCGTTTGCAGATGAGCTGAGGAAATGCAGCTGGCCTGGGGTGCCCAGGGAGGTCCGGCCCGTGACGTGGCGTCTCCTCTCAGTGAGTACTTGGAGCTGTGACGCAGGAGGCTGGGGGCAGAGTGCTGAGCCAGGGACATGTGCTCCTAGACCTTTACGTGTCCCATAACCAGGTTTGCTCCTGTTGTATCTGTGCCCAACCTACGAGTGAGCTGTAGGTTGGGGTTTTTTTGGTCAAGGAGTGCAGGTGCTGCGTTCTCTTTGAGCAACAAGGCCGGGCTGGTGCTGGGAAGATGTGATTCACTCTGGTTTGGGAAACAGAGCCCCATGAGGTTGGGTTGCTCCAAGATCAGTAAAGGCATTGGGCTGGGAAAGCCAAAGCCCACAAAAGCTCTTTCCCCCTCTCCTGAATCTCTGTGACTGATGCTTCGAGAGGCACAAGGGGCCTGGCAGGATTTCAAGGGGTGGTGTGTGGCGAGGGAAGAGACTCTGCCCTCACTCGGGTTCTCCTGCCGCAGGGTTACCTCCCCGCAAACATGGAGCGGCGAAAGCTGACTTTGCAGCGCAAGCGGGAGGAATACTTCGGCTTCATCCAGCAATATTACGACTCCCGGAATGAGGAGCACCATCAAGACACCTACCGACAGGTACGAGCCCTCTGCCTGTTGCCTCACTTTCTGCTTGGGTTACATCCCTTTCCTCCCTCTTGTTGCTGCTTGTCCGTGCAGTTGGGGTGAGGCAAGAATCTCCTCTAGTGGCAGCTATTAGGAGTCTTCTCCTTGCGGGGACAGGGCACCATGTTTCTGTCCATCTTCTCACAGGTATTAGTCTAAGCCTTCTCTAAATTGATGGAATAACTAAATTTCAGACCCCACCTCTGGCCACCGGCCCCCACTCGAGCAGGAGATAAAACTGTAGGTGATTTTCTCAGCACAGCCCTCGCTGTGCTCGTCAGCAAGTGCAGCTGCCGCTCGGTGCGGGGACACCGAGGGGTTGATTTCCCCTCCGTTAGCCTGTGGTGAAAAGTGCAGTTGGTGTGTCTAACCCACGCTCTCTTCCAGATCCACATCGATATTCCAAGGACCAACCCACTCATCCCCCTCTTCCAGCAGCCGCTCGTCCAAGAGGTAAGCGGGAGGGAAGCTTCTGCCCCACATTTCCTGTGGGGTGTGTGTGTGGAGTAGACCAGCACTGCTCCTAGCGAGTTAGCTTTGCGGGGTAAATACCTCCTGAAAATTTGGTTCTGTCCTGTGTTGCTGGAAGACATCAGACCTGGAGCTCAGGAGTTAGGAGATCAGCTCTTTTGAGGCGAGATGTGGCCAAGAGTTGGTAAAAGATCTGAAGCTTTTGTTTTGAGGCAAATGCAAGGTGTCTGAACCAGAACAGTTTCGCTACACAAGCTCTTTTGTGCGAAGCAGTATGTGAGAAACCTGCCCAGGGCTGATGGGTTTGAGAAGGTTGTCAGGAGGTGAGAGCATCTGTCCTCTCTGGAAGCACGCTCAGCGTGTGTATGCGGTGTCCTGGGGCTGGGGAGGTCTAGAAATATCACATTGGCTGTCGGGGGGAGGCTGTGCTGTTGGGAACTCTCCCGATCTGCGGTATTTTGCTGTGCTGATAACCGACAACAGCTTTAGCTGTCTGCAGCGATGTTCGAGACTTGCTGCTCGAACAGGCAGCCCTGTCCTGTGGGTCTTCAGCCACCTGGATCTCGAGAAGTTGGGTCTGTGTTTCTTCCAGCAGAGGCTTTGATGAGGAGCCTGGGCTGCCTCGTTCTGTGAAGTGGGGGATCTGTGGATCAAACAGGAGTCCCTACAAGGACTTGGATGCTTCTTATCTTACCTGTATTCCTACAGAAAAGCCTCTCGGCGCATGATCTCTGCTCCCTGAGCTTAGCAGTTACGCTTTTCTGCCTTTCCTTTGTGCACGGCTAACGCAGGTACCTGCTTTCCCTCGTTCTTCCCTAGATCTTTGAAAGAATCCTGTTTATCTGGGCCATTCGACACCCAGCCAGCGGCTATGTACAGGGAATCAATGACCTGGTCACTCCATTCTTTGTTGTGTTCCTCTCTGAGTACGTTGGTAAGTGACGTTTGAAGCACAGTGCTGCCTCTCGATCGCAGCGTTTGGGACGGTGCAAAGCTCGCCTTGCTGGAGGGGACGGTGTGCCCTTCCTTCAGCTGGAAGATACATCTTGACCTCTTGCTGTATCTTTGCTGCCTGACTTCAGTTTCATAACCTTCCTGAGCTCCTCGGAAGTTGCAGTGCCAAGGGTGGATTTGCATTTGAATGTACTTTTAAGATCCTCACAGCTCACTGAGGGAGTTTAGGCAAAGCCCAGAATTGGGGCTTGGGCTTGGAGCTAATTCTTGCTCTAGGAGGAATGAGTCAAGTATAAAGAGACCCTGCTGAGAATGTAAAAGAAACTATTTAAATAAAGTACAGGTGTGTTTCTCAAGTCGAGTTTCAGAAGGCGAATTGGCTTTTCCCTGCTGCTTTTGGCTTTCTTGTCAGCCAGGGGCTTTTAGACGTATCTCGAGGCATTTCCACCCCTGGCATTTGTATTCTTTCTCCAGCTCTGGCTGTGTTTTAGGGTTAACATTAATGCTGGGGTGCCATAATCCTTATGCCTAAAGGCTCTTAGTTTTCACTGTAAACAGAAGGAAAAAGGAATTTATAAGACCGTGAGTGACAGAGAAATCCTGTTGAACAAATATTTTTCGAAGTCGGAGCCAAAGCTTGTTGAAGCCAGTGGAGGCCTTCCACTCGCTAGGTGAGACTTTGTAAACTGATCTGCAGCTTCTTGGTTTTTTGGTGATGGGCAGAGGTGGGAGTTCCCAAGCTGGTGGCTTTGGTTCGCTGCTCAGCACAAGGCCGGGCCGACACTCTGGTCTCTGCTCAATCTGGTGGCTTCTCGTAAACAACCTTCCCCCCGATAACGGGCCCGTCCCCACCTCCGTGTTCGTTCCAGACTTCTATCCCGTGATCTCATGCTTTGAGCGGGCGTTGCGTTTGCAAACAACAAATCAGCTTTCCCACAGCTCGGTTATCATCTCTCCTTGGTGCTCATCAGCTGGTTAATGTGTCTGGTTGACGGTGTCTCTGTTGTGTATCACTTACTAGACCAAAGCCGAAAAATCCCTCAGAGGCCTTGTCTGGCTTCCCACCAAGGGCTAGGACGTGTCTGTGGGGAGAAGGTGGTTGGTGCGGGTCGGGGCTGGGCTGTAGCTTATCAAGCCCATTCAGGGAACAGTTTGGCAGCTTTTTTGCATTGATGTCGACGCGAGCGATGAACCAACAGGCAGCAGCAACCCAGCGAGCTCCCAGGCTCTTGTGTGCTGAGGCATTAAACGCGGGGTTGGAGCTGCTGCCTCTCTGACTTGATGCCTTCCCCCTCCTCGTGGCAGGTGAGGAAGGCTCTTTGCTGCTCCGGGTCCTGAAGGAGGTGAATAGGCCAGTGAGTGAAAAACATCTGCAGGAAGCTGTTTTTTTCCAGCTGCCCTGGGATGCTTTGGGAGCTGGATTTCCCCATTATTAACCCGCATCTCCCTACCCTGACTGAAAGAGTCCCGCTGATAGCGCTTCCCTTTTTTTTCGGAACGGTGCCTTGAATCTGCCACGTGTGCCCCTTTGGCTTCAGCAAACACCACCAGGGCTGAAGGAGGGAGAAGCAGCTCTTCCCCAGAGCTTCCAGTCCCCGGGTCTGAGCTCCCCTGTCCCCTTTTCTGGTGCTGACTAGGACCAGTTGGTTTTCCTGTACTTGCACCCAGTCTGGAAGCAAACCTCGTGCTCCTTCCAGGTGCTGTGCAGGTTGCTGCGAGCCCTCGGCAGATGGGGTAGATTTAACTGCTATGTTTTCCCCTTCCCCTCCAGCGTGGCAAGCTGGCTCGCCTTCCGTGCTGCTCTACCTGCCTCCTGCACGAACGTGTCAGCTTCTCGGTGGCCAGCGTGGATGCTTCGGGCCACTGCCAGCTCCGTAGCTGGAGCAATTCCTCCACTTGGCTGATCAACAGCTTCTGAGGGATTGGGGCCTCCGTTGGAGGAAACCATGTGCCCCTTTCTTCAGGTGATCAGAGCAGGCCCAGCGAGCACAGGGATGCTGAGCTGTTCGTCCTGCAAAAACTGCCTCCCAGCTCGGCTCCTGCAGCTCCTCCTGCCGCACCGAGCCGCTCCCAGCTCTCCTGCCTTGTGTTTGCATTTAAAAACGGCAGCAACAGAGCTCAGAAATGAGTTCAGCGTGCCCAGGGAGTGTCAATGCTGCTTCCTCCCCTTGTGCTTTCTACCCATCACAGCATGTGGTGCCACCTCCATCCCCGATTCAAGGCCTTGCACAAGGGGTTTTCCTGCCTTTGGGACCCGTTTAGCACTTCACCAAGCGTGTAGAGGGGAGCAGTGCTGTGGAAACTATGGATCTCACTTGCTCCTAACTGCCTTTGTTACTAAATCCTGATCACGCTTA